AGGCATTTACATTCTATTCTCGTAAGTCCATTCACTGCATACAGCCATGCATCTTTAACTGGCAGTTTTCTAAATATAGGCCTAAAGTTGTTTGGCACAATCTCCCGTGTACACAGTGAGTAACCTTGGGCTGTTCCAAAATATAGGCTACTCAAACAAGTTTCCTCGGCTCTCTCAATTGTTGGTAACGCTACCGGGTTGTACAAAAGGTAGGTCTAATTCTCGGGTCTTAGGGAGTTGGCTAACAAGGCGACTGGCCTTCTCTGCGGACAGGACTGCAACTTAGGCCGATGCATAAAATAAATACAAAATCTCAAATTTCAATGCCGTATTAAATAATCCTGTCTATCAAAACGTTGTTTCCTAGTCTACTGCTAGTCTAGGGTTCCTCTCTACCTGTAAACAATGGGGCGTGTCAATGTCTGCTATTTTTTCGCTGCTTCGGTCTCCGACCGTCTTTACTCTTTATGATTACGCGTCAGTCTGGGCGATGTATACCCACATTGACCTTCACTTCAGCTCGCTCTCGGGCGTGTTTATTGCTGACGAATAACATTGTCCGTCTTATTCGCGTCCTCTTCTTCTATCATATGGTCTCTCTTTGTCTTTGTGTACTTGACTCGTTCGCGTCAGCCATATTCACGGCTGGCGATTCTTCATCACGCCTGTCTAGCGTTATCTTTTTCTATCCCGCGTCCCGTCTCTGTCTCTTCCTCAGCTGTGGCGGTTTTCGCTGATTTGGGTGTTTCTGTTCATTTGTTTCTCGGCCTTCGTGTTGCGCGTATGAGTAGCTTCTCCCAGCTAGAGGCGAATTGCAAGTTCAGCAGTTTTACTTCACAGTTATTTCTCTCACTCGTAGTGCGTCTACGAATCACGCTTGCTTCCAACTAGCAAGCACGCTGAATCCAGTTCAGCTGTTTCCCTGGCTACGCTTCCTCTGCGTACCGGTTTCCTCACGAGTCCCTGTCTGAGGCGACTCTTCTCACAGTCCCCTGGACCGTTTATCTCCTCGCCTGTTCCTTCAGGCGGAATATCGTGCCAACCTCTGTGGCGTCACATAGGCCTGCTTTTCGACGTCCCTGACGTAAGCAGCCTCTCTCGTTACTCACAGCTCGACCAGCTGTTCCGTGACGTAGAACTGCTTCGTTCGCACATGCCTCTCGCCGTGGTTGTAGCTCTCTCGGCGCTACCGACCGTATAGCTACGCTTGCATTCTCTGCTACTCGTTGTTGCCATCAGCTGATCTTCTAGGTCGCTATGTCTTCTGTCTTTCGTGGTCCTTTCATTCCGATTTCGTAAAATCAGGAGCGCTCGCGGCTCCATGCGTACTGTCTGTGGCAACGTCCCTGCCACTGTTGGTGCTCTTTCGCCCTTCTGTCCTCGGGCTGTGGTTCCTTTTCTCTCAGGTTCCGGCTGCGGCCCTCTTGGCCGTCCTCGCAGTTTCCTTCACTGCGTCGTCCTATGGTCGCGGTCTCTGCTCGTCGACCCTTAATCTGTCTTGTTCGCTCTCCGCCTCCCTGGCGGATGGTCTGGTAGTCTTCTGGCCGTCTCTGGTTCCATTTTATTTTCTTCTCAAGCCTTTTCGTTCTGGTTTGAGGCATCAGTCTCTTCGGTGCGTGTCTTCGTTGATCACGCAGCTGCCACCACTGTAATGCCCTAGCGGCGCAGGGGGGCATGGAGGTATCCCTCCCGCTGCTGCCGCCGCTGTAATGCCGTGGTACAGGGGGGCGTGGAGTCAGCCCGCCTCTGTCCCCACTGTAACTCCGCATGTAGGGGCCGTGGAGGTATCCTTCCTCGCCTCCCCTAGTTATGTCGTAAACTGGTACTCCTGGTAACGTCGCGCCGTCGGGGGTGTGCAGGTACCCCTCCTTGCCTCCACTGGTTATGCTGTAAGGCGTTAACGCAACCATCCTAGCTTACCCTTAGCTAGGATTCTCCTATATCGGAGTTTCCTTCTGTCATACAAGCTGCCACCATCTATTTTCTGTTCTTTCAATTGTTGGTACTACTCCCTGGCATATAGTCTTAGCTCCTTCTTGACCACTCCGCATATGGTTTACAGGTAGCCA